TTTTGTTGTTCCAGAGTTTCCTTGAATCATCTATATGGGCCATCTTTTTTCGAAAAATGGTTATCGCCTGAAGAAGAGGACACGCAAATTGCATCACAGGAAGAAGAAGAAGAGGAACTGTTTTCTGCACGGGCCCTGCATGCTCTGCTTTATCGTCCACGGCAACAGCGGTGGTTTCGACGACGAGAGCGACCACTTTGAGGCCAACGGGTGTCGACACAACAGCATCACGGGAATCAGCGTCCCAGGTGTTGGCGGAGTCGGCATCGGAGCGGCAGCTGCCACGAAGCTTGCGGAGCGATACGCGACCCTCGCATCTCCGGAGGATTGCTCCAAGTTCTTGTTGTCACCGAGAGAACTTGCTATCTGGGAGGGCCAGGGGAGGAGCCTTTTGTCAGCTGTTCCTGCCAAACTAATTCCACCACCGGCCCTCTTCCGAACCGCTGGTGTGTCTGTGACTGTGCCCATACCTGTGCCTGTGCCTGGCTGCACCAGCGATTACACAGAGATGGTAGGCATCCGGTTCGGAGCATTAATTCCTACTTAATATAGGCTTTTAATAATTTTCAAATAACTGTATTGCATATTTATTTACATTTAACAGCATGAATTTCTTTCTGTAATTGTAACTAAAAATCTGATTCCAAGTGACCTGTCTGTCTGTCTGTGTGTGTGTGTGTGTGTGTGCGCGTGTGTGTGTGTCCGATTGCAGGTGTGTAAGAGGAAGTGCTCAGAGGTGCAAAGGTGCACCCCTTGTAAGCAGCCGCGCTGTGCCTTCGCTGCTCCTGATGGAGGGCTGGAGAATGGAGGTGGGGGGGAGGCGGCCTCGAACTCTGAAACGGGCCATTGCCACCTTCCCCTTTGCCCGCTTCCCTCCTCCTCTTCCTCCTCCGCTTCCTCTTCTTCCTCACCTGCTGATGGCTGCTGTGGGTTGGGTCTTCACGCCGATTTTCCCCACAGTTCTGACTCGTCCCCGCCCTGCGCACATAACTATGACGACTGCCAGGCAAGAAGTTCTGAAGCTGCTGATCACTTGAGTATCAATCATCTGCCTTCCTCCATCCTTCTTAAGGTCAGAAGAAGTTTTTTATTTAATGTTTTCATATGGTTTGGTGCAGACAAAGACACTGGAAAGCTTTGAATTGTTGTCTGATGGCTTTTAAGGGACTGAAAACACCCTTTTTTCCCCCCTCACAGGTGCTGTCTCACCTGACAGTAAAGGAGCGCTGTCTTTGTGCCTCTCTGGTTTGTAAGTACTGGAGGGACCTCTGCTTGGACTTCCAGTTCTGGAAGCAAATCGACCTCAGTGGCCTACAACAAGTAAGAGACACAGTTGTCTACAAAAAAGTCAGAAAGAACAGGAAACTTTGATTTCTGTGCTGATTATTGTGTCTTTTTATGTTATCTTGCTCTGCAGGTAAATGATGATCTTCTGGTGAAAATAGCTTCTCGGAGGCAGAATGTGACCGAGATTAACATCTCGGATTGCAGGGCGGTCCATGACCACGGCGTGTCCTCCCTGGCTTCACAGTGTCCTGGCTTGCAGAAATATACCGCCTACCGCTGCAAGCAGCTGGGTGACATTTCTTTGTGTGCTTTGGCTACACACTGCCCTCTTCTGGTGAAGGTGCATGTGGGCAACCAGGACAAACTGACAGATGCAGCATTGAAAAAGGTGTGGATTCAGAACCGGGGTAGACACACAATGGGCCTCATTCACTTATGTGCATATACATGTTCTTGTCCTGATCGGTACAAATGCAAAATTACAGTCATATTTATGATACGTGGGAACGAGCCAGTTGTGTTCTTACCACCGTGTATATGTTAGTGCTGCAATCAGCATACTGCCGCGTGCCCGTTCTTAATTTCAGTTAACACATTTATTGAAAAAAAGAAAGAAAGAGAGATGCTAAAAACGGTTTCATTTTAAAAAAACACTGTCGTTCAATTGAAAAGAAACAATTTGACATCAAACTTGAAACGGAAAAAAAAGACAACCAGAGCATAACAAAAAGAAGAAAGCAGGTGGAGGACAAGGATCTGTCAGCCCAAGACGAGTAACTCAGCAACAGCAATTATTCTTCAGCATCTGTGGGATAGTGCCAAGAAATTAGACTTTAACTGATGACATCCAACAAGAAAGGAAGCCATCTTTAAGAGAGAGATAAGATGAGATAATGTCTATTAGAATATGTTTTTTTTTAAAAAAAGCTTAAAACCTGTGCCTTTTTATACTCAGTGTTTTCCTTTCTTGGCTTGTAATCTCAGAGTTTATTGTGTATTTTATTCAAATTCTGAGCAGTTTTGTTCTTAAGCGGTTTTGAAAAAATAATCACTAAAAAGAAACTTATAGTCATCAGCAGCATTAGTATTAATATTAAGTTTAACAATGTGTGTTTACATTTTCAAGACAGCCAAACCTTCATCATTTCGTCACGTATGCATGTTCAGAGGATCGTAGAGTGCAAACAAATTCAGGAAAGAAAATAATGGGCACTCACAGATTTGGGTTTGGAGCGTTCTTTCGCTTGGTTTATTTGCGGATTTGTGTACATATTGTTTGTGAACGAGATCCAGTAGATATGAATCCCTAGTTTAAATAAAAAGCAAACACATACACCAGTCATATCAGCTTGGTGAAGATTTTGAGCAATATTTTCTTTACTTCTCTGTTTTGTTTTGTTTTTATTTTAATTTATTTATTTTTTTACCTCAGCTGGGGGAGCACTGCAGTGAGCTGAAAGACATCCACTTGGGTCAGTGCTACGGTATCTCAGATGACGGCATCATGGCCTTGGCGAGAGGATGCCCTAAACTGCAGAGACTCTACTTGCAAGAGAACAAAATGGTCAGTTTTTACTGTTGGTTACGGCTAAGAAGTCGTGCATTATTATAGCCCACTCAGTACGCCTTCTTCCAATAAGTACGTCAATGTCTTGAAGGTTTGCTAGACACCATCTATAATGATACACAGACTTATTCATTTCTGTCCTTCAGTATATTCCTTTTCTCACTCAAGCTTGGCTGGCAAACATTTGCAGGTGCTCCTTATTGTAGTGTTTTTTAAATACGCAGCTCAAATCTGCAAATAGCAGGGCACAATGAAAGTTTGCTGCAAGTGCCTGTCTTGTTGCTATATGCTAATCTCATCAGAGATTCTTTAAAGAAGGGAAAATATCTTTATCAGTGTGCATGATACATACACACATTATATGTTTGATAACTAACCTTTCAATCGCTTTTTGGTCTATTCTCTATAAAAGTTGATTTTGTTTTATATAATTTTTTAACTTAGTGCGACATTAGAAAGCTCAGTTGTTGTGATGCCATCTTGTCTTATTATAAAACCCCCTTTTGCATTTTAAGGGGCCTTCCTTTAACCCCCCCTTGGTTTTGGTTTTTTTTCTTTTTTCTACACAGCTGTTTTTTCCTCTTATTGTGTTGTTGTTTTTTGTGTTTTTCTCCGTGTATATGTGTTTTTTTTTTTACTGTGTTTTTTTTGTTTTTGTTTTTAAAAAAATATTTATCTTTTAAATTATTTGGCTTGTCTGTGCCTATCCACCTGTTATCTCCATCGTTCTTGTTTCACTAATGGTTTCACCTTTTTCCCGCTACTATTTCTTTGGAGGCCATGAATAATCGTGACCTTGATGGATTGGTCTGCTTTAAGTTTTTAACAACAGCTCAGTTTGTTAAAATCCCATTCATCATCTTAATAGTATATGAAATTAGCGATTACCACTAGGTGAGAGATTAATATTGCTTCTTATAACGTTTCAGAGGACCAGTATCAATTTCAGATGGTCATTTTTCAGACGTGAAGGCGCTGAAGTTATTTTAGCTTCCTGTCATCAGGGCAGAGAGAAATGAGCTGAGCTTATATGGGAATTGTTATGTCTAGTCGCTCTGCTTGCTTGGCCTAAAATTGTCGTTAACTTTGCCAGGAGTTAAGACGACCCAGAAAGCACTTATTCTTTCTGACAGCTTAAAGGCTACCTAAGGGTCTCTGCTCCAGTCTCTCAGATATGAAGAAAACTGATTTTGTTGTTCTGTGGTAAAATGGTTTAGAATTGCAATCTTTAAGCGAGTCAGAAATATGCAGAAACACTTATTGATGCCTCTTTATGTATAATTACATTGCATATATTTTTTGATTTCTGAAGTTTCTTCAACCCTAAAGAATATAAAAGGTGTCTCAAGCTGTTATACGCCATTGCTTCATACTGAAGTCTACAAGTCATGGACACACTAAAAGGTTTGAGGGCGCTTGAAAAAAGGCTTTCCTGAAAGGTTTATACAAAAAATGAAAGACTGAACTCTTGCAGAAATGTTGTGTGGGCTCAGCCTGTCTTCACTACATGAATTGATTCAGGAAAGTGCTGAGATTGGCTTTTTGGGGTTTTAGTGTGCTATAAATTGCAAAAATCATGGGAGTGTAGTGAAAGCCTCTTAAGACTACTTTGTAAAACTTCTCTTCTCATGCTGGCTTCTGTTGTGTGTTAATGTGGGTGTGAGTTTCTGTCTATCCTAATCAATCACAGATGAGGATGAGCCTTTCACTCACTCTGATCTTTTCTCTCTTTCTCCTCCTCCTCCTCCTCCAAAATGGAATAATTAAATTGCTGCAGGATGTTGCTGTGTGGTCTGTTCACTCGCCCTCTTAACTTTTTCTTTGTCATGTGCACCCACGTACATTTTTTTTCCTTTCTGTCTTGCTTTCCTTTTTGCCATGATTGTGGTTTTACTGCCACGCTGAAGGGTTCGTTTTCTCTGTGTTAAAACCATATCAAGCTCTGGTGATGGTTCAAGACGTTTTTTTGCAGGGGGGGATGCGCAACATCTCTGAATAGGCTTGTGCAACTTGAAGGACTCTTTTATGTTATTTGTTCAGCAGCAGTAGTTGTAACATTGCTATAATGTACACAGTATTTTTTGCAAAATCTTGGTAGTAATATCTGGACACTTTTGTGCCATTGGTTAGATTTTTCTTAATTTTTAAAAAAAAAGGGGAGATGTGTAATTTCATACCCTGATTATCATACCGAAGCAGTGTGCCCTTCCCTATGATAATGACAGTTTAAAGTTGCTAATGTAATCCCGAGGATGGCTTTTACGCTCAGTAGTGTCTCCAAATTTTGTTTACGGTTGACAAACTGGAGCTTTCGCTTTCATTGCTTGTTAGCTCGGGGCCAAATCAGCCCAGGGCTATGGATAACCCTGGGCTGAGAGCGTTGTGTGAAAAGCAGGTGACTGCGGTGTGTCTGTGCCCCTCTTCTTTTGACATCCACCCTGCATTCTTTATTGGCGTTCATCCACTATTTATGCCGGAGTTGGTATTATTGCAGCAGTTGGCTTTCAAGGCTTGTTTTCATCTTCTGAAGTGTTTTCTCGCTCGCTTCCCATTCATATTCTGTTCTCTTTCAGCACCTCGAAGGGCAAAGGCTGGGAGAATAGCAAATTCCCCTTTTCCCAGACTCGCCCCAGTTTGCCGTAGGGGGGGGGAGAGGCAGCCCTGAAAGTTTAACTCTGAGTTCTGTCAGTTTTATAGACCAAGCAGTGGACAAAACAGAAGTTGCGAAAACCCCTCGTCACCCGTCTTTCCAACTTTGCTCCAGTGTACCTTTCAATTAAACACGTTATAATCTGGAAACATTTTCGCTGGAGAAGCACTTTTCCTCACTCTCTTTTTTCCCGTGTCTTTAAACGGAAAACCCCCCCAAAACGTTATCTGCTCTCGTGTCTTGTTAAAATCAAAGCGTGTGCACTTAATTTTCCTGCAGTGTGACGGGACATTCTTCCTCTGGCTCATCTCAAAGATGCCGCGTCTGAAAATGCACTCTCTCTCCCTCTTTCCCTCTTTCCCTCTCCCCCCTCTCGCTTACGCGCACAGGCTCTGATTATTAACGGTTTTAATTAGTCCAAAATGTGGAAATGTAAGTGGAATTAGAGATGACCTAACATAGATTACCATGTGCCCTCAATTTAGTTGTAATTACCACTCTGCATGTACAATCAGAGCTTCTCTCCCTTGTTTTTTTTTTTCTCCTCCCCTTTTTCGTTTTTCGACAGCTTTTTTTTTTAGCCCTCTCTTGTGGATATTTGGGAAGGAAGAGATGTATTTGTCTGTGGGACTTTGTGAAACACTAGAAAAAGATGAACTGTCAGTGTGAATGGTGTTTCCTGGCTATAGGTCAGTGGAGGAGGGCTCATCTCCCGTTCTGATTGGCTGGCTGTCAAGCTTGTCAGTAGTTGGGTTTTCGCTGGCAGGAGGACTGACAGTGAGGCTCCACAGGTCCAATCAAACATGATTGCAGATTAAAATGTATATTGACATTAGCAGATTTAATTAGCTGGATTAGAGGGAGAGATCAAAGAGAAAGGAAGTGATAATGATAGCTGTCAGTTATTATGGGATAGACCTTTTGACATGAACCAACACACATCGCACAAAAACACAGAGGAATATTTCAGATGGTGGCAGTGACACACATACACTCGGGAGCGGTGGGTGACTTGAATAGCTGCCATCTGCACTGGAGTCTCCTTTGGAAACTTTTTTCTTCCACATATTTGACTGTGATTAGAGATAAATAGAACCACTCTGACCAGGCGCATAAACACAGCATTGCACATGCATAAACAATGTGGTGTCCATCTCCGCAATCCCCTCCAGTCTTTGTAGATGGCCATTTAGACTTTTCAGGATGTTGAATGTCAGATGTTGTCGAATGTATTAAGTCAGTTTAGTTGCTAATAGCACTGGATTATGTCCATCAGATTGGGAGGTGGGGGTAGGACTGCTCCCAGTCAGAGTTTCCATGCTTTAGGATCCTGAAACATGCCAATGTTTTCTGATAGCAGATGCTGATAGTAATTATTTTTATTGTGTTGTTGTTTTTGCATTACAATGTTTGTCCGTCCATCCACTTTTTCAATTAAAGGTCGACAATCTGGGATAGCGGCTGGAGCCTGTCCCAGCTATTGAGGGTGAAGGGCGCAAACACAAAGAGAAAGACATCAGTTCATTCTCATCGTCACACCTACGCTCACCTAAGCCAACACATTTTTTCCTTAATGTTATTTTTTATTTCCCGAGTCCTCGTTTTACTGGGATATTCAACAACTTTGACATAAGCAATGGAAAATTTCAAGTCTTTTCAAAACTTGGCTTTGCCTTTTTTTCACACCTCAAAGATAAAAGTGATGCATTTTCATCAGTAACATGGTTTCCATAAACTCAACGATAAACCGAATATTTGTGTTGAGCTTGTTGTTTAAACGTTGGAAAACAGCAGCTGACAAAATGATCAGCACAAATCATCTGAAGAACAGACAAATTGGTAAATGATCAATAGTAGAAACAATAAAACACTATAAATAATTGAAAGTTGCAGACTCATTTGGAAGAAGCTAAGAGGCTTGTTTATTGTAAGGAAATAAACTGATTTATACACTTCTTTTCATTATTATTATTATTGTTTACATTCTCATCATGTGGCCTATGTTAACAGCGGCTTCCTCTCCCTCGCACATCTTCCTCTTTCCTCTTTTGAAGTGCATTTGTATTGATCTGTGTCCCCACAAAGACGGCTCTGTATGTGCGTGCGGCTTTTTTTTTTGCCGTTCGGCCTTTGCCTAAAGCGTAATCAGATGCATTAATGAGCACTGACTTTAACTCGAACAGCCGGCTGCACTCAGACGCAGACTTCGTCGATATGTTCTCTCTGCTGTCTGCCCAAGAACAAAACAAGTTTTGAAAAGAAGAGAGTGTAAGCGTTTTTCAAAATGCGAGTCTGTGAACTTTCCTCCAAAGCGATATTTCACCTTGCTGCCGTGTTTTCTTTTCAA